AACCCTAAACCCTAAAAGGCCCAAAGACGGAATGCCTGCCACGGGCCTCCGGAGATGCCAACTGGAAGCCAAACGTGTCGCGACTTGGGCCCAGGACATGAGACGTGGCGGTTTAGGGGGGGTTTTAGGGTTTAGGGTTTAGGGCTTGGGGGTTGGATTGCTTTTAGGGGGCGGGGGTTTTAGGGTTTGGGGTTTTGGGCTTTGGGTTGTTTTGGGCTTTGGGGTTTAGGGGTGTGGGGTTTAGGGTTGTGGGCTTTGGGGTTTAGGGTTCAAGGATGTGCAACTAAACCCCCAATGCTAAAATCTAAAGCGCCTGAGTCCTCAGAAGTGGGCGAGATCGCAGAAAAGCCATGGACAACAGTCACGCAGTAGCGGAGCAAGCAACCCTCGAGCTGTTGGTGGTAATACCGACCATTGAAAAAAAAGTCGACTCTGGTGGCGACAGTGGTGCTGTGCAAGGCCAGCGGAAGAATGTGCAGCAGATCATATGGGTAGTTGTCAAAATTATGGTCCCTTTTGGGGTGCCCTAAATACTAGGTGCCGTATTATAATAAGGACCCAAAGAGGGACCCTAATTTTGACGACCGCCCATATAGTAAATCACTCTTAATTCAGACTTTGTGTGGAATCTATGTCCATAGTGCGCATCCCAATGCCGACACCAAGCCTAAGCCTAAGCCTAAGCCCTATAAATCCTAGATGACGAGCTCCATCTTCAGGTACGTCCTCGCCCTCGGTGCCCGTGTCACTGTGCAGGCCAGCAGACATGACATGAACAGGCTGAGGGCTTAGGCTTTAGGGTCTAGGCTACGGCATAGGGTTCAGGGTTGATGGGTTTTAGAGCTCTGGGATTTCATCCGGTGTCGGGTTCAGGGTTGAGATCATGAGGTGGGTTTAATTTCGTGAGACCCAGCTCCAGTTGCTTGCAAGCCTGACACTTCAAACCCTGAAACCCCAGCTTTAAACTTAAGAGGTTACAAAACCTCACCCCCCACATTCAAGAAACCCGAAGCCCTAGACTCAAAACCGCAACCAAAATCCCCCGAAACATTCCCCGTACTAAATCCTAAGCCAAACCCTAAACCCTAAACCCTAACCCAACGCAGGGTTTTTGTCTCAAGCCGGATCTGATTCCTTGCGCCCTTCTCTTTCTCGGAAGCAGCGATGGCTCGCACTTCCGTGCTCTCCAAGGCAAGGCTGATCTTCCTTTTAGGGTTCTATAGGGTTTAGGGTTTAGGGTTTTAGGGTTTTAGGGTTTAGGGTTTAGGGTTTAGGGTTCTATAGGGATCTTAGTAACTGAAAGGGTTTAGGGCTTAGGGTTTAGGGTATCTTGGTAACTTAAGGGGCTCTACATGGGGATCTGTTTTTCCAGGGTTTCAGGGATCATGCGACTTTGCAACTAGAGGAAGGAGGTAAGCATGTGTCTATCTTCGTATGACCCAATCTAGGTACTTATAACCTTACTTACTGAGGCCCATGATCCTCCAAGTGAGGATTCTGTAAGGGTTCTGTAAGCTATGCATTGCTGCGCATTGGTGTTCCATAATGTTTCTGTAGGCTTTGCGGGGTTCAGGAGCTCAGCTTTGTTTATCTTACGGGGTTCCCTAGTCGGGCAAGATGGATGGGTTAAGGTAACTTCTTTCAGAAGTTTCCGTGAAGAACTGGGTTTTGTCAGGTATAGGGCCCTGCTTGTGTACCTCCTAATTCTAACAACGCCCCAAAAGAACCAATATTGGACCCTTAGAAGACCACTGAATTCGGAAAACCGCATTTTGAAATGAAAGCCGAGACATACAGGGACAAGGCCCTGCCACTTTAAAGCGGGGAAAACCCTGTCCTAAACCACCTAGTAACCCAAAACTCCCCAAACCCTAAAACCCCTAAGCAAGTAAGCCCTATAAATTGCTCAAAAACCCTAAGCCCTAAACGCCTAGAACCTAAACCTTTCAACCCCCCGAACAAGAGAAAAGCTTGCTTCCAGGCTCTTCTCGCCGTCGCAGCAGTGTCCGTCCTGCAGTTCTGCCGCCAGGAGGAGGGCTAAGGGTCTAGGGTCCAGGATTTCAAGCGTTCTTGATTGCAAGCCTGCAGCAGAAAAGGGTTTAGGGTCTAAACCCAAAACCCCATACCTTGATGCAAAAAGGGTTTAGGGTCTAGGGTTAAGGCATGTTCAGAGATGAACCTCTTCCGGGGTTTTGTAGGGTTTTTAAGGGGTTTCGATCTGTCGCGATTCAGGATTTGGGGTGTTGCGGCTTCTATGAGGGGTTATATAGAGAATTTGGGGTTTTGGAGTTAGCCTGTGTGGCCAGGGGCCTAGGGCCTAAGGAAGAACGAAAAGGGTATAGGGATCCATTGCACACTTTATATATGGAGCCACCTTTTAGAAATTTAACGCATCTGTCAGCAACACTAAGAACCATAAGCCCTGCACAAGCATAAGCTTGCCATAAACCCTACAAACCCTCAAACCCTAACCCTAAACATGATCGAGTCCCCTATGCAACCCTAAACCTAAGGGTCCATGTACCCAAATAGTATATACTTTAGCCTTAATGTAGTCCCTATGTACATACTATTTGGGCACATGGACCCTTAGGGTTAGCTTGCATACTGTCTTGAACCCTAAACCCTAAACCCTAAACCCTACACCCTCTTCAGGAGGCCTTCGTGCCCCAGAAGATCCAGGGACAGGCTGCGGCCTCCATGGCCGCCGCCCTCATGGCCGCCAGCGTTGCCGCAGGCCCTGCGCAGGCGGAGTCCCCCAAGCTCTCCTTCTTCGGCTCCTGGGTCCGGTTTAGGGTTTAGGGTTCAGGGTTCGAGGATTGTGCGTACTTAGCCTTGGGCATCT